TGCTCATATTTTTCTTTGAAAAATACATATATTTATCATATTAGTATAAAACTAATTGGCAATTAAATAGAATACTTCTGCTTAATGCATTCATGCAGTTTTCAAGAACACATATTTTTTTAATTATAGCATCAATAGAAGAGAAATGGGAAAGCTATCTAAAATTGTTAAAGCTTAAATTAAATTAGGTTGAGAAACTCTTACCCAAGGTTCTATAGTATAGCAAGTTTACATGGATATATTTTACTACCTTCAAGTTAATATAGCTGGAGGTAAAATGTTAGAAAGGTGTACAAATGTTATACTGTATGATGCATCTACAGAAAATGAATGGTTCGATTCTGTCTTGAATACCTGCTGCACTAAAACTTTCAAAACCAGATGTTCTGATCTGTAAACATTGGAAATTATGCATAATTGAATGCTTATATCTTTCTAGTGTTTCAAATGAAATAACAAAAAGTCATATTTAATCACTTTCATTAGTTCAGCTTGTTTCTTAAGATATAAGTGCTCTAGGATTTTATAAAAAACAGTATGAAAAAGAGGAAACAAATCTGATGTTGCATGCAGTTTGATGCGATGACAGACACAGAGAAGGTAAAATAGCTGCCACGTTAAGTCGGTCACACAGTGATTATATTACTAGAGACAGGAATTAATTACCCTAAATCATACCTATTTGTATACAAAGTATTTGCTTCAATTAGAAGTGAAGATAGTCTAAAGTCCTTGAACATACAGTGGTACTTATTTGAGATTTGTGTTATCACGAATGAAAAGAGTAGGATAGTCTAAATTATATAAATCAATATTTTGAGGCTAATACCCCAGATTGCTCACCACAAATATTTTTATCATAAGTCATAACTGCACTGTGTATTATAATAAAGTAACAAAAACACAGATAACAGGCTCCACTTAATATACAGATATAAGTAATAAGACATACATACAAATGAATTATACACAGTAATTATCATTTATGAAATAAATATTAGTACCCTATATTTATAAAAATATTTTATTCATTTTGAGAACCGTTTTGTAATAATTATATCTAGAATTATAAAAGAATGCACATGCAAGGTTAATGAGGAATTATTAAAAAAAGGTTGTAGAAATTTATTATAATCCTGTCTTTAGTAATATCTATATCTGATACATACTGAAGCTCTATAAATGCATTCCTAATGATTTATTTTTTAAATTTGTCTTTTTAAAAAATTTTTTACAGCATTATATTTACAGGCATAAAATTATAAAATTAATCATTTTTTTAATCTGTTAAATTATTTTTTGAACAAACTGGGGGGGGGCTGCCTAAAGGTTTTTTTTTTTTTATTTGAAACAAGCAAAGAAACTACAAAATATTCTGACTAGCTTTAATACAATAACTCATAATGTAATTCTGCACTATGTTTAAAGACCAATAAAAATTAAAGATTTTTCATAAATGAAATAACATTAAAAGAAGTACATATTAATTTCCTTTAATATAAATATAAAAACTTCCTTCAAGAATGATAAATTTAATCATTACAATTAAAAGAAATTTTTTTGTTATTTTAAAAGAAATACAACAATGCTTGGTATATTATAATGTGAAAATACTCAATTAAAGCCAAAAGGGAACTTCTAAGTTAATAATTAACCATTAGTAATAAGTTCACATAAAATATTCAAAAAAAATTTTTTTTGAATAATGCTAAGACAGACTGCAATTTTTCCATATGCAGGTATTTCTTATCTATTTGACAAATTAAGACTCACAGCATTCCTGAAAAATATTTATCATTAAAATAAAAACAGTTCTTTTTTAGCTGTTTCAGTTATTGAAAACAAATATACTTGCAAATGCATGTAGTAATTATATAGCATACTTTATGTATAAAAGTGAAGAAAAATCAAACCATATAAAATGTGACAAAATACATTCAAAGAATAGATGATAGGCCAAATACACGGGATCTGGCTAGAAGCAAAAAAGAACTGATATAGCAGACTGATTAAAAGTATACCTACCTGTATTTCAACAATACCTTCTATTGTAACAAAAATATGCAGTTAAAAATGAATGAATATTTTGACAAATATTACCAGAATTGTACCGTTTATGTGCTTTAAAAGATGAACCAATTGGTAACAATTCAGTACAGTAAATAAATGAATAATATTCATTAAAAAGAAGTTATGTATTAAAACTAAGGCCAGAAAGGCAAAATAATCCTACTTCATATTTAAACACTGAGCTTCTTACAGCATTTACAGATTACTATCATCTGCAGATTTTTGCATTACTAAATAAATCATTTTATTCAGCATTTAAAACTTATAGGAAAAGAGAAGAAACCCAAGTTAAAGCAGTTAAAAATTTACACTTTAAGTATTATCAAAGTCTTTAAAACTAAACTTCCAAAATGAATTCCCCCAATTCCAGAAATTTATTCATCTTTAATCTTACATGGTAATGAAGAATCTTACATGGTAATGAGAAAATGTTTAGTTAAATTTTACAACTTTTTGCAATTACTATTAAAATGGATATTTTATCTGTATGAACTAATATTTTGAGTGAAAACAATATTTTAAACAGTTCTGATATTTGCAGAATATCTGTATGTTAAGAATGGTTATCTCAAAGGCCAAAAAATAAATTAATTAATTAAAAAAGATAATATTACATCTATTTGAATAAAAATCCATTAATTTCTTTAAATTAATAGATTTTCTATTATGCATGTCTGGAATACCTCTGGCGAAATACAATAGAATAATATTAACTATATTAGAAAAAGCATAAAATATATGTAATAACTTCAAGTGATTTGCAAAAGTCAAATATAAAGTTTTACAATGTATCTAAAATACAATTGTTTGTCACATATTCCATTTTTTTTTAAGTATAAAATCTCACATAAAGGTTTCAGTATTAATATGATAAAATTATTCAAGCTCAAAAATAAAAGAAGATTTTAGTATTTTTGCAATTATTGTATATATTTAAAACACACCTTTAAAAGAATTTTACAATATTAGGCATTTTAAATTAATTCCAAATATCAAGAGAGTACAGATAAAACTAGGTAACAAAAATTAATTTAATGCCGCCTCTCTTTAAATAAATATTAGGGCAGTTGAACTTTTTTTCTATTTAATGTACACTGTTTACATCAACTGAAAAATAAAGAGGAAAACTTATTATAAATGTTATATGACAATAAAATTTTCTTAAGGAAGAATTTTGTATTAAACAAAATTGAATAATTTCTTTTAACAAACAGAAGAAACTGCATAACTCATTATAAAGTTTTATAATATATGCATATAAGATCCTAATATCCTATAACTCAAACAATATTTACCAAACATTCATACTATGGTTACTATCTCTATATATTAAGTATAGATTTTCAGTATTGAGCATTGTAATGTTATGTACTTTCATACAAAGTATAATCTGCTCAAAGCTGAATTTTATGTCTTTTTACAATTATGTTACATATAATTAAAAAGAAGTTATATTACACAGTTATGCAGAATTTATCTCCAGTGTTTGCACCTTCTTCAAAATTTCCTTGCTTGAATTCAATATAGTATTAAAAAAAGTGTTGATACTCTCTGCCCTTTATAAAATATTTTATTTCATCTATGCTTTTTCTCACTTGTTAGCAAAAGATAAAGATGTGCATTTTCATATTTCAAATTAATAATTTACTACCTATATGATGGAAGAATAGTATTTTACAGATGATTAACTTCAAATAAAAAATTATGAATTAAAATTACATGAAACATACATATTAAATTGTGCACAGAAATATACTTAACATTTTACACAAAAGTATGCTTAATTAATAATATCTTGTGTCTAAAAGATGATAATCAATAGGATACTTTTATTGAAATTTTAATGCAAAAATCGATACAAAAATCAGAATAGTAAAATATTTTACTACATGAATCATTACTTACAAATTAATCTAAACTTTTGAAGAAATATCCACCTTTCTTTTAGCAATTTTAGAACATAAATGTATGTGCATTTCAAATGAATTTATGATATGTTTTATGCAAAATGTTTTGTTTTGTTGATTTATTTTATAAATCAATAAAGCTCATTGATGATTTATTACAAAACTTTATCATGACTTCTGACTGATTGATTGGATGCTTACAAAAATGTTTTATTTTATTTAAGAGGTTATTTCCCTGTATAATTTTTGAGAAAATCCTAGTTCAAAATAAGCTCTAAGTATATTTATGCCAAATAAAATATTTCTGATGTATGTTTGATTTAATTGAAAAACAAATTATTTTTTAAAATGTTTTTATTCTTGTGACAACTGTAATGAAAACTTTATAAAGGAATATAATAAGTAAGAGTTATATAAGTAAGAATATATTAAGTAAGGGTTAATTATTACTTAGGGAACCTGTAGTGATAAAATAATAACAGAAATAAATATTTAGTATCCATTATTTGAAGCTATATTTCAGGGTTGATTTTTCCCTTTTCTCACAAAATTTTACATAGGCTACAAGACGTTAAAACAATTGCAATATCATTTTATTTTACTTGCTATATCAAAAATATTTTTGAAAATTTTAGAAATTTTCTGTTTTTTTTTTTTTTTTTTTTAATTATTATTTTGCATAATATTTAATGTTTTTACTGTTGAAAAGTTTTTCCTCTTCTTTCTAATGAAAATACACAAATATTAATTTTGTTTTAACTTTGATGTTGTTAAAAAGATATTAATTTAGAAATAACAACAGGATAATTATTAGGTAAATAGAGGAATTTATGCTCATGCTCTAAATACATAATATTACTTGCATTTTATATCTCAATTTATTAACTACCTTTTTAAACTACTATATGAATATAGCTTTCTAAGGGACTACTTAGTTTAGTGATATATTTTGAATTACACAGCAATTTTCAGTATACAAAATAAAATTAAAGAAAATATCTTTAAGGGTTGATAAGTTAATTTTTTCAGATTTAAATTAAAATCATACAATGATTAAATTCTGAATTTATATAAGATAAAAAAAATATTAAAGAATTATTTATAACTAATGAAACAAAGCAGCGATTAATGAAAAAAATAATCATACTAAAATTGAGGAAGGGTGTATTTTATATTACAAAAGTACATCTTATTTTTACAACAGTTAAATTTTTTTCTCTTGAAATTCACCATAAAAGGGATAAAATAACAGAATCACTCCTCTCTTAGCGAAAACAAATACACTGTCTTTTCTTGAAACTATAAATAATTTTTAATATTCTAAGTATAGGGTACTAGAAATATTTCCCAGGTTTTACTGATAAAATTACATATGTTTAAATATTTGTGAATTCTATTTATATTTAGTTCAAATGTTTCCTTAAAATTTTAAATGGTTAAAATAAAAAATTAATTATTGAATATTAACTAAAATTATTAAATTATTAAAAATTTTAAAAAACATATTAAAATTTCATACTTTATCATAATGAAGAAGAATTGAAACAAATCTGTGCTAATCTATTTGTTCCTAGTTTTTGATCTGAAGATCATTGCAATTTAAGGGTAAATACTGGAAAAAAAAAAACCTTTTTTATTTTTCACAGTAAACAAAAGATGTATAGAAAAAGGAGCTGCTGCTTATTGTTCCCTGTTCTTAAAAACCATAAATAAGCAAAACTATTTTATCACATCATAAATTTTGTTCCTTAAATTTATAATGGCATTGCTTTTACTTTATTTCATAAGTTCTTACAAAAATTACAGAAGGACTGATATATTAAGTAAATTTCGTTACTTACTGCTTGCATTTAAATAATTTAAAATTAATTTTGAAAATGGCAGTTATGGCAAAACCTGTCACTGAAAATCATTCTTTACATTCTGAATAAAAATACAAGCTTTTTAAGTACAAAATGAAAGGTTAATTTGTAGTACACAGTCTTTGTTTCTGTACATTAATACTGCTTATTGGCACATTCATAATCAGCACCGATCACCATTTCAGCAATGAACATTTCATTACAACTGAATACAACTCATATAAAGACTAGATTTAACTAAGTATTATACTAAAATTATAATATTTAATATTTATATATAGTTTTAAGATAACATATATTTCTGATAGTTTCAGTTACCTTAACTGAGAACAAATATATATCTAGTCTTATACTTGTAGAATAAAAACCAGTAATAGTATTTGCAAAAACTGTGCTCGGCCCTGACAGAATGCATCAATAATAAAAACAAAAAATCAACAAAAATACTAAAACACAAAATAAACATGTGTATAAATGTATATAAATTAATCATAAAAAGGTAGCTGTAGACAATGAGCAAAAAATAAAATTGGTCTTTGGATGACCGTATATAAAGGTGGCTTGTCACAGCAACCTGAATTCTGAGCAAATGTGAGGTACAAACCTGTTCTGACTATGTGCAGATGCCACATGAATAAGTTAAAAACTTGCCCATTGTTAGGATAGGTGTGGTCCACAGTTATGTTTCTCCCATAAATTCTTGATATTGAAGATGTTAGATAATAATAATTTAATGACTAGCATGTTCTTTTTTAAACTATTATGAAAAACATTTGTTAAACCTTGTACTCCGGAAATTTCTTTTTTCCTTTTCTTTTGGCTCCCGAAGGAGGCTGCGAGCCAGAAGTGGAGGAGCTGGAAGAAGGCGGAGCAGTCACTGGCAACTGAGCTCGATCTGCCCTGGCAGTTAAAGGAGGGAAGTAACCTTTATCATCATATAAACCATCATAAAGTTCATCAGAAGGCGGACTAGGTACATACTCACACCCATCACGCTTCAGAGTCTTCTCCTGTTGTTGCATGGTATTTAAGTTTCGTTCATAAGTGTAATCAGGTTTATAAGTTATGGGAAGGGCTTCTTCACTAGCACTACGGACAAACTGATGAGAAGAATAATCACCTTCTTCTCCATCTTCTTCAATACTACCTTCCTCATCAAAATCTTCATCTTCTTCTTCTGGTTCAGCTGGAGGAACTCGAGCAAAACGACTGGAGATATCTGAAGCAGTGGGTCTTTGCTTTCTCCCTAAGTAAAATTGTAAACCTGGCTCCAACTGACTTTCAGTACCACTAGCACTATCCGTCCTTTCTACCCTATAATGGCGGTCAGCCTCTGGCTCACTGAGGCGGAGATCAGAGCCAGCTGGAGAAACATGGAGTGGCTGATGTTCCAACTGTCTTAGAAGGTCCTCTAAGTTTCTAATTCTTATGGGGCCACAAGGAGGCACCATGTCCTCAGCTTCTTCACTACTAGTATTTCCCAAATGTTCTGTACTATTCTTCATGATGCTGTAATCAGATACAGCATCAGAAAAAGTCTTTTTCCCATCCTGTGGACTTCCCTGGCTATCGACTGGACGATGGGAAGACACAGTATGAAGGGCTTCTAATATTTCCTCATGATATCCATTCAAGCTCTTTAAAGTTCGTTCAACTTCTGTTAATGCATCACTGTTACGTTCTGCATGACTATCTGCCTGGCTCATTATATCTTGGTTATCTGACTGAGACGCTTCATCACTCCACTTTTCTTTATCTGACCTAATGGCACGCTTCAAAATGCCTTTTTCTGGAACCTTAGAGAGATTGTTGGGTGAAAGTTCTATGAAAGCAGAAGTTTCATCAAGTAGTTCTTCTCCATCTGAACAAGAAGTATCTTTGAGCTGTAAAACCTGCTGTCTTTTTAATTCCTGAAGCTTGTCTTCCCTAGATAAATATAGTAACAATTAATGAATATCATAGAGAAATTTAATTAATTAATTTCTCTTGAAACCTTATGAGTATTGAATATGTTTCATAATATAGTAGAATTTAGTCATAAATTATGATACATATTACTATTGCTATTTTAGCAGATTTTTTTTTTTTTTTTTTTAACTCAAAGCCAGAAATGAGCAACACTATAACCATAAATTTTTTTTTTATAATTCTCTGATCTAATTTTATATTAAAAAATAATTGTGAGGACTAAGTAACAAATAAAAGAAAGTAAATTAAGCATACATTAGATGGCAATAAATGTCTCTCTGTCTTCATTTTGCTACAATCAAAGATATAAATAAAAATGAATAATTACATACTAAAAAGCAGTTCAAGAACCTTATCCAGTTATGCACTGATAGCTGCAACAACTGGTGGAAACATTACTTTACAAGAAAGCAGTATATAATTAAGTAAACTTCAAGGATCTACAGAAAAATTATTAATATTATGCTCTGGGAAAACTATCAGTCGGCCCATTCCAATGAAAATTAAACTTGTGGTGAAATCTAAAGGCACAAATTAAGCTTTATTTATTTCTAAGATTAACTGAAAAACACAGAGTAAAATTATCTGTTGATGTTTCTGCAGATATCAAAGCAGTATTCTATTTCCATCCATGTGTGCTGAATAATACCTTGTGTGAGTGCAGCAAAGGCAACAAATGATGCATTTTATAATAAATTGCTGTGTTCAATATAAGTTAAGAATTGCTCTGAATACTTATAACAAATGTTTAAATTCTGTATATCATAAATCTGCACTGCGTTTTTATTGCATGTTTACTTACTTCATGTAAATTCTCTGTTTAAGGGTACTGTCATCATTACTACTGAGCAATGTTTTGGCAGATGTCAAGGTTACCTTGCCTGTCTCTAGAATCAAAATTTGGTCAATTTTTAATTACCACATTTTCCAGCGTATAACGCACATCTATAATTTCAAGCTATATATTTTTATTTTTAGGTGCATTCGCCATATAACGTGCACCAAATTCTTCAAGAAGAAACCTAAAAGATACATGTAGAATGCTCTTATCTTTCAAGGTCACTCATTCGAAAAATTTTCCTAGCCTTTCGAACAATGGTATATTGAATTGACAAGCAATAAGGGGAACAATATGTGTGTGTGGATTTATTGCTTGAGGGAGTAAATATTCCTGCAAAGAGGGTGCAGTGCATTCAATGCAGGTGTCCACAAATTTGCTATTGTAGGGATTAAAAAAAAAGGGGGATATAATTTGGAGTATGAATGCACTTCCAACCTGAAAGAATTTGTGGAATTAAGATTCAGATATTTTCTCTTTCTATAGTAATTTGAAGCCATAATTTTGAAGTGAACGTCGAAGGTTTTAGTTGAAATACAGTTGATTTAGTGTTCTTTTTAGTAGTAAATATGGCTCCTGCAAAACATACCAACACAGTGTTGGTTTCAAGTGCAAAGTCATTCAGTTTCCAAGAGAAAATGGAAATCGTGGTGCAGCAAAGAAGTTTGGTGTTGGTGAAAGATGGAACAAATGAAGATTTTTTATTTATGGTCCAGAGTAACAATGATGGCGAAAATGAAACAGAAATCTATGATGTGCCTGAACATACAATGAAAGACAAACTTTTCATTTATCTGATAATGTTCGTAAGTTTTTAAGTTCTGATAAAGTTTTTAAGTTCAAAAGTTGCATCATTTATTTTAATTAAACAGCATAAGTGCACACAAAAATGTAACTTTTGTATGCTGATTTTTCCATATTTTTAATCTGTCATTTTTATATCCTGTGTATAATGCACACTCTTAAATTTCGGTCATAGTTTTGGTGCTAAAAGTGCACATTATATGCCAGAATATACAGTACTTTGGCATAAAAACTAAGAAGGCCGATTTAGGATAATGCAGAGAATACCGATTTACAGCCAGGTCTATTTTTTGGATGACCTTGGATTGCATTTCACTCAGTTCAGTCCACAAATTAATTAAACATTTCAAAATTAAAATTATGAAATATGGTAAAAATTTTTACTAAAATAATATTGTTTTGAGAAACTAATTCCACTTTAGACTTCATATTTGGTTCTGATATAGTTTTACTTTTTATACGTCAAATTCAATCAAGTTCTCTCTCTTTTTTGCATTAAATAAACCTGAAGAAAGATGATCTTTCTTTAAAGTTTTCTTCCAATTTAAATATATAACATAATGTAAGAAGAAGTGCAATAGCAAACTATACAAAAAAATCTGATGCGTACACCTCATGACTTCCTTCTATAGAATATTAAATTCTACACATTTTTACTTCCATTTCATTTAAATTTATTGAATCAAATTAAATCTACTCAGTTAATAATGCATAAACCACAATAGAATAAATGCACACTTTAAAATTCACTATATTTATTTACCCTAGCCACACTCTGGCGCTAGGTTCACTTAACAGCATTACATCTCATTCATTTTATAACGTATAATGCACAAAAATTATATCATCTGAAGAATTTAGCTAATCGTTGACATATGGTCTATTCAAATACTATAATAAATAAATCTAAACTGATGTATAAAAGAAATTAAACAGTTAAAACAATTAAAATATTTTACAATTAAAATTAGAGTTTCTGCACAAAAACAAACAATTCAGCCAGCAGGCAAAAAGGCAAATTTTCAGTGCACAAAACTATAAGTTACCTTTTGGTCCCACTTCGCAGAAAGACACTAAAGGTGCAACAAGATTTAATTCACTGTTCTGCTAAGTTTCAAGTGTAAACAAATATGGCTGCTATGGTAAGAAAAACTAGGCTTAGCTGTACTTAAACAACTTTTAAATTATTAATTTTACAACTATTGTGTGCAGATTAATTAAAATCATTAAAATCTTAATCAGAAGATATGAACAACTCAGTTCAATCATTTTTAGAGCAATTTACCAACATATAAGGAAAAAAAAAAAACTGAGCTCACGAAGCCGAGTAACAGAATGAGTATATATACATATTTATGTACTTTTTGGTGCAGCCGGTCACAATCAAAAAGGGAGGTGCACAACTAGATGTTATAGCAGTCCTATATATAAAATTTCAATGTTCTGAGGCTACTCGTTTCTGAGTTATGAGAGATACATACATACATACCACACAAAAACATTGTTAAACTGCATTCAATAGTCATCAACATGGGTATTTTCATTGAAATATGACACCCAGAATTTTTCATGACTCAATACTTCCTTTACTTCGTACAAGGAAATAAAAAAAGAGGGTTATGTTTTATAACAATATAATTTGATACTTATTGAGCTTTTAACTAATTACATCTCCTTATTAATACACCTTGTCAGAAATCCTGAAAAGTATATTTCCACACTTAAAAATCCTGTAAAATATGGAAACTTAATAAATATATCTAGGACAAGAAATGCTTACTTTTCCATAATTAAATGATATATTGTTAAAATATATATTTTATTTATTAAAACAAAAGATTTAATATTAATAAACAAAAGATTATTTAAACAAAAGATTTAATAAATACTGTTAATTAATTATAATTAAAATATATCACATACAAAGTTACAAACCTTTGTTGCTTAAATTTCAGTAATTTATAATAACATTATATTAACGTTTGCAATAACTGGCAAAATGCAACATTTTTGTTGCAATGACTTGACACATTTGAAGACAACATTATCATTTGCTGCGAAATAACAAACATAAAATTTTTTGCCATATTTGAAAACTGAAATTTATATATGTATCCTGCAATAAACAAACCGCTAAAACATCTATTAACAAACTATAAAGGTCTTAACACTACATTCAAAAAGAGAAAAGAGAATTAAAAAAATAATAAAACCTGAAAGTTTTCAAATTTTTTATAACACACAAATGGCCATTTCTTTCTTTTTCATTAACAGACACATAAATATGTCAAGAACAATTGGACTAAAACTATAGGTTGTTTACAAATATATATATGTCTACAGTTATTGTGGGGCTAATGTTGACTCTGATCACTTTCTGGTGATTTTCAGGCTGACAGGAAGGATAAGTAAGACCTTTTGGAATAGGCAACAAAAGGATGAATCTTAAACGTTGAATCATTTTGTACAAACATGTGACAATGAAAGATTATAGAAATAAATTAAAAGAAAGTCTACTCCAGTATCTTCTCTTCTAATTTTAATTTTTAATTTTATGATGATTTGTAGAATGGTGACTTCTCCTGGGAACAGACTGAAAAAACTGTTAAGGATACTTACAAAGGAAGTTATACCATACCTGAAAAAGAAATAAACAACATACATGGCATGATTGAGCAAAAATTACTGAGGAGAAAAACAAAGCTTATAAACGTCTGATTCAAAAACACTATAGTAGAGAAGTACAGGAAAATTATAAAGAGTTGAAAAGACAAGAAAAAAGACTGTTTCATATGAAAAAGAAAGCATATATGGAGGAACAATTTAGTGAGATAGAAGAATTAAAAACATAAAAAAGAGTAAAAAAAAATTCACCAGAAAATCAGTGCTCTATCTCACTTTGCCTATTGCAGGACTATTACTTGTAGAAAAGGCGATGGTGATTTACAATACATATACTTTATAAGGGCAAACCTTACAGCATTAAGTGGTGGCAACTGTGCAAGTTTTTGATGCATTAATTGCAATCCTTCAATGTGTGCACCCTTGGTCACATGACACAATCTACAATGGTAATCAAATTCTTCCCATATTCCATGTCCACCGTGACAGTTTGAAGTGCATGCTTTATTAAATCCTCAACTTCCTCAAGGGACATGAGCATTGGCAGTACATAAACTCAGTCTTTAACAATATCTACACATGACACATATCTACACTACACATATCTAACTACTTCGCATACTTCTGTGCCCTCACTACATGTCACAAATGTACCTACTGTTATTAATAAACCATATTTTGTTTTGTTATGTACTTTTCTTTCATTTATCATGTTTTCATAATAATGTTGCCAATTAAAGTTTCTAGTCCTACATAGCTACATGATTCTAATTCATTTTTTAGAAATTGATGCTTACTAGAAATTTTCACAACCTGCACACACACACACACACACACACATATATATATATATATATATTATAATTTTTTTTTTTAATTTGCATTTGCAAACAGCTATTTGTAAATACATGTAATATAATTAATTACCTGTAGGAAGGCATACTTCCGAAAGTAATAATACGGTTTACATTCTCTTGAGAAGAACTATCATCAGGCTTGATGGAACTGGGTGTAGCTGGAAACTTGCGACTTGTGTGCTTTTTTAGGTGGGTTGGATCCGGCTTGGGCATAGCACTCTGTCTTCTGACAAAAGGAATGTTGCAATCATCTTGTCACACAACTAAAAACTCATTTATAAATGCACTATACACATATCAATGTTCCAGCACTTACAAGACATTAAGTAAATAAGAGGTATTAACAGATCCAGAAATTTCAGTGAAATGAATGTAAAAGTGTAAATGGTAAAACAAGAAACAAAAATTATTCTCTGAGCAAATTTTAAAACAAACTGACTGTTAACATTTTAAAAATTCTTTACATAAAAAATCAGTTTAAAAGAAATTTCTTATTAATTCTATATTAAAAGTACACAATGGGGGGGGTTGAAACCTACCATGCCAAAGAATAAATGTGCTTTACATAAAGTAGTAACAAAATGGCCTATCTTAGAAGAAAGTGTCAAAAACTAAAATCTTCAGAATGGATAAACTGTAACAAAGAAACAGCTTTTTTTGCTCACTTTAAGACAAGTTTTCTGTCTTAAGTAACCCTGAGTTGTGCACTCGATTTATGGTATGGGATAATTTAGTAAATATGAAAAAAAATTGCAAAGCTCCAAACAATTTGGACAACAAATTGATGTTTCCAGAAGTGTGTTATTCACGTACATAAGAAGAAGAAAAAAAAAATTACTGTCATATACTGGATGTATGGATGAAACCTTAGCAATGTGTCATATGATAGGAAATAAAACAATTGATGTGAAAGGAACAAAAGCAGTTCACATAAAAACAAGTCCCAAAAACTCTCAGCTCACCATACAGTTTCCTGCTTGGCATAAGGGAAAATTGAAACTCACAGTTATTTTTAAAAGAAAGATCAGGGCCGTTCCTAGGCCAATGGCTGCCCGCGTGCTTTCCTAGGATTGCCGCCCACAAAATTTAAAAAAAAAAAAAAAAAAAATGCTCAATGATTAATGAAATTTTTATTTCAGATTCACTAAATACTTACATATGACAAATTGTATAAAAAGTACTTACAATGAATTTAATGAACTTAAAATGTTTAGTCATGGTATCACAAGAGTCCGCCGATCCCCATTTTTGCCGCCCACTTATTTTATGCACTGCACCCCTGCTAAGAATGGCCCTGAGAAAGATAATACCAAAATATAATTTTCCAAATGGTATTTTTATTTGTCTTCATGAGAAGAATGGATGGACGAAAATGGTGTGAAACTGTAAATAAGAAATTTTCGGCAAAAGCATACTTTTGTCTTAAAGAATCCAGAAAGTCTTTTAGTTAGGGACACATTCAGATGGCATCTAGTGAATAGTATAAAAAAATTATTAAAAGACAATATGCAGACATGGGAGTTATTCCAGGTGGATAGCTGCATCAGTTCAGCCTTTAGATGTATGTATATCAATAATCCATTCGGTATTTAAAATGATAGTGGCATGGATTAGGTAAAAAAACCATTTATAAAAGAGGCCATATCTGTCATGCCAGTCTAGAGAAATAGCGTGTGAATGAATAATAAAAGCATGGAATGAAATTAAACCCGACATAATTCAAAAGTCATTAAAAATGTAATATACCTAACAATGCAGATAAAAGTGCTGAGTGACAGTTATTTTCTGAATTTCGAACCATATTACAGATTTCATCATCTGTTAACTGATTTATTATTAGGGTATTCTGATCACAATGAAATTCTTCTGTTATAATCATCTTCATTTATTACCACTTCTCTACTTTTCTTCCGCTTTTTATTTACAAGATACGAAAACCTTCTAATTCATGGCTACCATCAAAACATTGCTGCTTATTAAGTGTTTGCTATACATCGTTGGTGATGTAGCATGAGATTAGTGACAGGCTAAATGCTAAAATTTGTCTTGCTCTTATCGTGCACTGAGGAAGTTGAGCCTGAATAATATTAGTTAAGTTATTTATTATAGTTATGTCTACTTCCTGCATATGTTTAAGGCAATTCCCATGAAATAAATAGAAACATAAATATGTATATTTACCTTAATGCATAATGAAAAAGTATCCAAATCAGTTATTTAACTCAAACTAAATGTAATATTATGACCAATACATATCATTTACAAAAATCTATTTTTTAGAAGTTTCAATTAAATTTCTACCCATCAACACAGTTAACACTTCGCTGCGCAGTTGGCTGAAGTCTGCAATCATTGCCAACATTAATTCACCATAAAAGATTACCATGCTGTTTAGTGTTCAATTACTGATATTTAAAACTAAAATTGTTTTATTATTTTGTTTCAATTTCAAGGTTTTGCTTGTATACATTGTACTGTGTTCTTTCTTTCTGCAAACTTATTAGAACTTAAATTCAACATTCTTCCTGAGCATACTACTAACTTATAGTTTGTTTTGGTTCTCAAACCTGGAGAAAAATGTTCTCCTACCTCATAACCTTTATCAATTTTCTCTTGGGGAACATATTTCATGTTATTTCAATATGTGAAGCAACTTTAAGGCTTCAATTTATACAGTCAGATACATTACAAATATTGGTATATAAAAGCATAATATATCCAATTTCATTTGATACATCACTGTGCGAGTCATTGCCTAAGATGTTTCAAGTTGCTAGTCATAAGGTGATGACACAGAAAATAATTTTAAAAAGTTTGCTAGGCTGCTGTAAGGGTTGTATGATATACATTAGGAGAAATAACAGTGGTAAATTTTGGTAGAATGTTTTGCTTTGAGATGCATGCCAAGCGGTAAGGCAAATTATTGCCTTACTACAAATACAAAGCCAAATTATTATCATACAGATTTAGGCTTGTAAATGATTGTGTTTCATCAGTATGGTGGTGTTTTATTTAATGACAAAATGAAATTAAGAATCAGGACCCTTCACAGGCTTTATTACCCCCTCCAAAAAAAGGTCTTCTACATGCATTAAACATTACTACTCTCGGAATCGTTGTCGATTGTTGAAATGATCTTAATATCTTACTCCCAACTCATTTTGCTACAGCTCAGAAAGTACATAAAAGCAACTGATATTACTATATACTAATATTGTAGTCTATGTTAATGGTTTTCAAACTGTGTTCGATGAAACCTTGAGGTCCCATTCGAATTTTTCGAAGTCAAAATCAAAATTTCAAAGAATTTCTGAATACCATGTTGATGATAAAACTAGAAATTGTTGTTGATGATAAAAAATTTACATATAAACTGTATATAAAGTAATTAATTGATATTTTTATTGCCATTGCTGTAGCTATCTAGAATAATATAAAGTAGATCTGTTTTCATGAAAAGGACACTAGAATAATCATTCTCTTTTCAACTCCCATAATGAATGCATATTTTTACTTCCTCTTCCCCAGGGTTATAAGAGAATGCATATTTTTTAATGTTTGTTTTTTCTTTCCAGGGTCCCCCTACCCCAAGAAAAAGTCTTAGGGGTTCCCTGAATTAACAAAGTTTGAAGGTTTATATTAACATACAAAAAATCATGTTATTCAAGAAAAATAAATATTGCAATATAAATAATTAAGCCCTGATACTTTATTACCTGTAGCAGGTGGCTAATAAAGCGAAGAAAATAAACACTCCACCAACAACACACACAAGAACTATAACGAGAGATGGGGTGCTGAGGACATCCTTCTTGCCAACTAAAATGAAAAATTAGACACATTGTATGCATTCAAAAACTGATTTTATTGATATCTAACAAAAATAAAGAATTAAAAATATAAATCATACAGATTTCTGGTACAAGTTTTTCTAATGCAAGTCAATGACCTATTTTATTTCTGATATCTGAGAATAATACTTTTATAAACTACACTTTTATTTAACACAAAATGAATTTAAATATACATAAATGTTAGGAATATTTATAAATAATGTTTTTGTGTACATATGTGTGCTATATACATATTTTATAAAAATGTTATAAAATTAACAGTACTTTTTCTTTTAGTTACTTAACACACAATAATTAAATAGTTTAATAGTTGACACACTTTAAATAAAAACAACATGTGCATAATTGTTACTCATTTGGATGATTCATTGTGAGTAAAAAAAGTATAATATGACAATGTGCATGTTGGTTAATATTTGTTCTTAGTCATTGTTAAAGCAAGTTGTCATAAGTCAACAACTACCTTTATGTAAAATGTTTATAAATATCAAAACTTAAATTAAAATAGAATTTATATTCATGAAATAAAATTTCATGAATATCATGAATTGGAGACAATTTCAAATACAGGAACGATTCGGGGGTTTCCACGAGGAACCACCCGAAGATACCGGTATATTGCCTACAGGCCAGAGAACAGGCCAGACAGCGGGAGAATCGCTAGACCACGACACGCGACTGACGACCGATATCGCTTTTACCGTGGCCAGGGGTGGTCCGTGATGGTCTGTTGCACGACGCCCTGTACGGTGTGTTGTACCTCTAATGCCTGCCCTCGAGAAGGCGTTCTCTGGTGCCGGGAACACCGGAATTGGAGAGACATGAATGGGGACGAGTACTCTTTACAGATGAGAGCATTCAGTCTGAGTAGCGATTCTCATCGCATACTCATCTGGAGAGCGGGGAAGCCGCAATCATCCTCGAACATCATCGAAAGGAGGTATGGAGGTGGCTGTGTTCTCGTTTGGGGAGGCATCATGCTTGGTAGTCGTACAGACCTCACATCTGACGCAGGTTCAGTCAACGGTACCGTTATTGTAACGAGATTCTTCTTCCATATGTGCGTCTTTTTAGAGGCGCTATGGGTCCGCAGTTCCTTTTCATGGACGACAATGCACCATGTCATCGCACAGTAGCTGCTGAACAGCTCTTAGAGAGTGAGGATATTGAAACGTATGGATTGGCCGGCACGATCTCCGGATCTCAATCCCATCGAGCATGTATGGGATTTTCTAGGCAGATGGCTTTCGTAGCTTACCACCAGTAATGATTCGGAGCTTCGATTGGCGCTGCAAGACAATGGGCAGCAATGCCTCAACTTGACACCCTCATTCTCAGCATGGGCAGACGCTGTGAAACCTGCCTAGCAGTCAGGGGAGATCATATTCCCTATTAAAGACCGGATGTTTCTTGCTGGACACCCATCACAGGGATGTTTCGGCCTTCAGTCGCATTGCGCTCCATGCTACTTTTTCAATAAAGCTTCTTTTATCCCTCTGATTTCTCTTTTGTAAGTGTTTTTTACATTATCATGTCTTATGTTATTGGGATCTTAGGGTATAATGTTGATTTGGAAGTTTTTGTACAAGTTATATTGAAAAAAACCGTCTCGTCCTTAATTTTTGCCCCAGTGTATGCCTCGCGGAATGATGCTGTTAATCATTAAACGACTGGATGACTGAATAGTAACTTCAAGACGGTAGAAAGAAGCATGATATGTTAAAAGAGACAGATTGCAGAAAAATACATTGAGAAGTTGTAGCAAATTTAAATATTTATTATATATAATAGAAATTTTAAATCAATACTTCTTGTTTTTGCTCCTTACTAAAGACTTATGAAAAAGCATTTATGAGGTAATGCAGTATGTAGCCAAAATCATTGTTTCAATCAACAATGTCACCAAAAATTATTTATGTGGCAACTCAGATTATGGCGATAAAACATGTCTGTTTTGACCAGTGTGTAATGACGAAAAATTTTCTTTTTAACAAAAACAGACTATTGTGTATATGGGCACAATAACAACACAAAAAAATACAGAGGGGGAAAAAAAACATTTTCTTAGAAAACTATTTTATTATCATTATTATTATTAATTTTACTGGTTGATTCCTGTTTTATGGAATCCTTAGTGTGCCACCGTTTTGAAATTGCTTTTGCCTTTAATGCAGCTCAGCCAAAGACTTAAATATTTCAAAAGACATTTCCAAAGCTAATATTAGCGATACAATAACATATGTGTGTTTTTGCTATTTACAGATTTTTTCCAAATGAGTATCCAATATAAGCATTCATGAGGAACATCTCTCGTAGCCAGGTATCCCACCCATACATCACTGCAGAATGAACGTATGGGACAGGTGATGCATATATGCACTTAAGATGACAGGTGACACATTTAAGCCGAAACATTTTCTAAAGACCACTAGATGGCATCCCGTGCCCATTACTTTTGAACTGAATATAATTTTAGGATCCTTACCTCCAGCTCTTTAACTTGCATGTGATATAAACATTCACGTTTCGAATCTTTTTATTATTTATTTATTTTGCTACTAACCCCACACAGTAACTGTAAAAGACACTAGTGTCTTTTATACTTACTATATGGGGGTTTTGTCATGCTGTGCATTGTTTTTATGTCTTATATATCAAATACTTCCCCTTTTTGTTTCAGTTGGTGGAGTTAGAGAGCGATACTTCTAGTGATTAAGATATAGATATTCTGCCAGAGACTAAGTGCTGAGTGCCTGCCTTCCCCTTCATATGAAAGATTTTGTTATTTCTTTCTTTAAATAGTTTTCCTTATATTTTTTTATTAATTTTAAAGTTTATTAAGCTAATTTCTCAATTAAAACTTCAGAATAATTTGAATAGCACATCCGAAAATAATTTCTCAAAGCAAGCAATTTTTTTATATAGTTTCACGTAAAGGAAAAAGATTATTAAATACTAATTCTAACATATATGATATTTTAAGTAATAATCTAAAATAGTACCAAAGGTATGACCTTAGGACTTAAAACTTTTTTGTTTTGATTTTGTTTCTAAAGTTAGGCTTAACAATGCAAAACCCCCGTCGTGTGGGACGGTTCCTTTCAAATCCCAGCCATCCCAAGAGAGCGTCTTAAACAAAGGAACACAGTCTCGACAGCAAAACTCGATAACACTTAGAACAGAGTTAAATTTCTAATATCAGTGGTCATAATACTTTCTACTTGAAATGAGTCAAATAAATTCAGTTCACATATAACATTTTAATTAATATTTTTTTATTTAAAATTTCTTGCAATACTTTTTTCCAATACATAAATATCCCCAACATCTCTTTATTTTACTTAAGCATAAATAATATATACAGATATTGCATTTCTGGATTTTTTATATTTTGTACCCTGAAAAGTGAAACTGTTTGATATTTTTGATTAATCTATTTACTTTTTTCAGTTATACACAAATATATATTTCAGGGTCATGTATTTTGCATTTAATTTTAGGCAAATCAAACATTATATGAATTTAATTTTTGGAGAGGATGGAATTAAAGAAAATTTTTAAGCCTATTTTCATTTAAAAAAATTCTATAGAGAGTCAGACACAACCTGGAAATAATTTGCACAATAATAAAGTAAGACCATATTTGTTGCAAGGTGCAGAACCTGCTGAGTTTTTAAGAATGCTGAGTGATACAGCTACAAATATTGAAACATATTGTGATTTATATTTTGCATTGTGCAGTTTCCTGTTATAAAATTTGATAACCTACGCAAAATAACTATATAACTTGTTTTTTCATTTGGGTCAAGTAACACTCTACACATTAATATCACATTTTACATGACTAAGAGGATCTTAAAAAAATTACACTTCTTACCCCCATATGGAACATTTGATTTAATAGTCTTATTCCTCCAATCTGCAACTGTTTCAGAAAGTGCTTTCACAGTAGTAAGAATACCAGTTTCCCCTCCAGGTTTCTCTAAAGTTCCAACTGGTCCATTAGTGTGATCTACAATACCCAGCCCAGGATCAAATGGCTGACTGCAATCATGCGATGTCCATTTAGGATCACAGTGGCAGGTATTAATATTAGAACAAACCTTTAAAAATAAAACACAAAAAGTAAAATAGTAAACCTCCAGCAAACAAAACAGACAGCATATATCCAGATATTACTATGAAACAAGGAAAGCAATATCACTTACTCCATGCCCTGAACAAGACAGGGCAATGTTATTTGTTGGGCATGAACCAGGCTCGATAAATACATCAACATTGACACATGTCTGGTTAACACATATCTGAAATGAAGCATGATTCAGTTGATATGATAAAGCAACCATAATTGAAATGCTAGCATATTTTGAACATAAATATATTTTGCATCAGACACCTGTATAATTTCACATCAGAAATATCCATAACCCAGTCTTTCTGTTTTTAACAGCAAGTTATATTATTAGATTGCAATGCTTCTGTTTACTTACCCAGTGATATGAAAACAACCAATTTTACAAGTTGTTATCATTTAACTTATCTTACAAACTATAACAGTACTTTTTTCATAGCATACTGAGTAATGTAAAAACTACACACTACTTAATAATATTGATATTTACAGTGACAGCATAATTTATATAACATATCGATAGTTAAAGTAATTTTGCATTTGTTCATGCCTTTCTTCTAATTTTCATAAATTTTACAAAGCTGCAAAACATAGATAATAAATTTAGTTACACTATTGAAAAATTCAGTAATGCAATAATACCCTAATTTTTTTAAAAAAGAATATTGTGGCAGCATATTTTAGATAGAGAAATGGTTAGAGTAGCATATTTAAAAAATTATCAGTTTGGAACAAGGCATTTAATATTATTGATATATGGAATAAGAGTTTGATAAAAACTTAACAGTCTGGAGCAGTACACAATGAAAATTCAAAATGCTTACAATATGCATATCTGACAAATGCATATAAAAATTTAAAGTGTGCTCATTTGAATTCTGTACCTTTATCAAAGATTATTCCAGAAATATTTTGATGAACAATTATTCAGAAACAATTGCAGAAGTTACCATTTCAGATTCTAACGTTTTATTTAGTTTTGCTAGAATTGGGAAAAGAAATGTATACATATTACTTGAATTAAAAATAATTTTTGGTAACTCAATTACATGTTTGACTTAAATTTTATTTCTTTTAGAGTTGTAGAAAACTTGATAATTCTTTTAAATTCTGTTTGGCATTTTTCTTATCCTATGACAAAGCTACATAATTATCTGTTATTATAAATTGAAGAAACCGCACATGATTGCATAGCAAAGCAGACAAATGAGGCCCTGAGCTAAAAAATTTGAAACCTGTGTTGCCCAGACAACACCTTGAAAAATTTTTTTTTAATTTAAAACCAAAGCAATTTTTTGTTGGTTTTTCACATATGACTTAATTAAACTAAAAACTTAGAATTTTACTATTTCTACCAATGGATACAGTACAAAGAAATAATTTAAATGCAATTTAAATTTAATGTAATTTATTGATTTTTGGCAACTGTTTTTAATCATTTCATGATTATTATTTTAAATTTTTCACAGATTAAAGGAGGATAAAAATTCACTCTATTTTAAAATGATTAAAAATATTAATTAGGCGTTTTTTATTTTATATTATTTTTAATCTGCCACCAGTATGATTTTGAGAAGAAACCGAAGTCTGTATTCCTTGTACTCCATTGATTCTCTGCAAAACATTCTTTGATACTCATATTATCGTCTTTCCCCTTCTATATAACTATCCTAATAAATATGATAATATTTCTTCTTCCCCCTTTTTCAGTAGCATGAATAACTTGCAAAAATTAGTTTTACTAAGAGATGCTGCCTTTTATTATGCTTTCCCCCTCAAGATGATTGTCCAGTTATCGCCTTTTCATTTCAGTATATCATTTCTTTCACTCTGTATAAGACAGCAGTTTAAAAAGGCTGACGGCATTTATAACAGTGAAAATACAACGATTAATCATGAGAATAATATGATATAAGTATTAAAAAAATTATTATTAAAGGAAATTGCTTCAGAGTTCCTACTGTTATTTTCTTGATAGTATTGCTATATCAAAGGTCGATTATATATTTTGTTAGTCATCAGGGTATTAAACCGCGAAGTGATATAGTTCTATAAGACATATAAATCCGAATCCGGACTCGTTGGAACTTTGGGGTTTCCGATTAGGGTTTTTACGGATTTAGATCAGCAATTTAAATCTGGTAGATGGCATGGAGAAGTTATACAATTAAATACAAACCGCAATTATGAAATAAATAGCAATATTATTTTAAGGTATCAAAATTTCAAAAAAAAAAAAAAAAAAAAAAAGTTTACTTTATTTGTTTACTTTAGTAACATTTCTATCAAATGAAGTTGTTTCGTTTTTTGTGCTAATACTTTCTCTTTATTCTATAAACAGACTAATTTCTTGTTCAGTTACAAAGTTCCACTGTTCAAGTCCTGTAATTGCTGTGTCAAGAATATCGACTAACTTGTCAATCGAAATTTTTTCGTTTTCAGTAATGTTCTCTGATACTTTCTTCACTATCGGAAGCACGCATGGGTAAACGCCTTACTGGCTTTATGCGCATGCGTAGCGGACGTGCGCATCAAACGCGCATGCGTAAGTTTGTAGCTTCGAGGTCCAGATTATAAATGATTCCAGATAATGGATGTCCGGATTAGAGACTTTGTACTGTAATATTTTGTTTTTTTTCTAATGATTAAGTCTAATTCTAGAAAATGTTTGATAACCATAAAGGCATTGATTATTGTTTTACCATTGCTAATGCAATCTCCGATGGCAATCTGCAAAAAGATTTTTCATTCATCCAGTAAAGTTACTAAGTACAAAACTGTCCAGTTAGAAGTAATTTGATAAGTCAGTGAATCTTATCTCTTCTACATGAATCACTTACATCTACCTTATTTCATAAATAATGTGTCCAAACAGCCATATATGTTTTTTTTTCCCCCATGGTTGTGTCTGACATGGTCAACTGTAGCACATTAGATTTTTTCTCTTTTCTTTTTATTTTCAATATTAATGTTATTATCGTAATAAATTATAGAATCTAGATAAATAAAATTATCCATTCTTTCAAATATAATCTGAACAGCTTTTCAAAATAGATGGAACTATATGATTTCTAGTACTTGCAGTATTTTTCTTTACATATATTAATTTTTCCTTCCACATTTCTAGCAGCATTCATAAGAGCTGTATAAGCTTCTCTCAAGCACGTGTTTAATGTTATAATAGCACAAGCTAATCTATACACATTAATTAGAACACATTAAAAAAGCATAGAGAAAACATGCATCAAGGAAAATCTGCAAGCACACACGTAAAAAAGTATTAAAATATTTACCTTCTCCTCAGCACATTTTGTCCCATCAATCATTAAGCCCAAGTCAGGGATTTCTGCAGTGATTGTGCCAGAGGTTACCCTACAAGTATATACAAATATAAATGCAGAGCAATATTACAGTTTATTAACAAATCACTACAGTAAGAGGAAAAGAAAATTGTATGGCTATAATTTATTTCGTAACTCACAAATCTGCTTTTTATGAAACAATGAAACTACATATTATTCTTATGGAATAAATAATTAAATTAGAATAAAAAATATTATTTATCCAATTTACCCCAATCCAACATAAAACATAGCTACTAGTAAAGACAATGTCATGGCAAGACATCTATGAGAAAATATGATTCAATCTAAGAAATTTGAATTCATAAGTATTAAATTTATTACTCTCATTGTTTTAGCAACTGTATTAATGAATTAGTAATGAAAATGAGTGCTATTTTATTTAATATTTATCTTTCAAAATTCTTGTTTTGGTTTTAAAGCTGAACCATAAATTTTGGTATGGTTCAACTAGTGAATAGTTTTGAACCAATAAGTGCAATTTTTAGCCCCCCCCCCCGCAGTTGACAAAGTGGAGGGTGACCTTAGTCTTGGCCTGTTTCAGATCGCAGAGCAGGTACAGATGTTTGTAAATGCATAATGTCGCTGTGGCATGGGGAATGTAAAATACTGTCAAGCTGAAAGTTTCCTTGAGTGGCACAGAAAGAAGGATCTGACTGCTGATGTATTTTCTTCAAAACTAGGATAGTTTTCCTTTTTAGTTTGCCAAAACCCTTTTATTGAGTGAAATTCGGTCATCTCTGAGGCAACATTCTTGATGATTAGACAGCTAAAAGACCAACAGGTATTTCCATTCCTGACAAATGAATAAAGTTTAAAAGTATCCAGCCATTTAGAAAAGCAATATACAATGACGAGCCAACGCATTATGACCATCTCAACATTTTTGAGCTAATCTGGATGAGTGGGAATGGAATACAATAATTAATGAAAATGTTTTGGTTATTAGAAGTTTAAATGCTCTACATGTTTTTCAAAATACAATATTATGATTAAAAACAATTTAAGAACTAATTTTTTTAATGTTTTCTAAACAGAAGTTTTAATGATATATACTGGATATAATGTGGAATCATAGCCACCCTTCCTACCCCCCAAAAATAAAGAAAATAGATAATATATTAAATTAAAATAATTATTCTTTTTGATGGTAATATATTCCTGACTATTAGCATACATTAAACAAAATAATCAAATTACAATTACTTTTATCATTATAAAATTATTATACGGACATTTAAAAAAATTATAATTAAGAAAAAGAAATGGAAAAGTAACTTACTTGCATTCATATTCTTGACCACCGATTGAGACTATTGTTCGAGTGTACTGTTTATCTTTTACAGCAATCATTGGGGCTCGTGAACCTCTCTGACACTGAAGAGAACCACAACGAACATTCCTTCAAGGAACAAAAATGCACAAAATTATTTTTAAAGAAGTGTAATACTACTATTCTATATGTACTTAGTTTTGTTTATAAAATATAAGTGCAATTATGAGATTTCCATTTTTTAAAAGATACACTGATTATCATAAATTAAGCAAAAATCACAAAAATCACGATTACTGAAAAAGTTATATGACTTTCGTCTATGAATGCCATTTTTGGTGGCATGTGTTGTTGCTGTAGATATAACGATGGTAGCTTGACTAGGTAATATTAACATTTTTATTTAACATTAAGAAAAGGTACATATTTTAACACACGTTCATTGATACACATTGATTACAGTTCGCACAATAAGCATTTTTATAGTTAGCACATCCACGTATGTAAAAAATCATGAAAGTGAAGCGGTAGAGAGGTGAACGCGTGCTTCACCGACGGCAGCCAGGAACAGAGTAGTCAGTCTGAATTTTCCCCTAGTGGAGAAGAAGAAAGGATGCTGGATCGACTTGAGCAGAGGATGGCTGAAAGAACTCAGATGGTAATCTAGGGGCTGTGCCGTAGACAAGTTCAGCGGATGTACCTGCGAGATCTTGCTTGAAGGAAGAATGTAAACCAAGAAGCACAAGAGGGAGTGATGTAGTCCAACGGGTGTCATTATAGCACTTTAGAGCTGCTTTTAGGTCGCGGCGGAAAAGTTCCACTAAGCTGTTGGCAGAAGAATGGTATGGCGAAGTGCGAATTCGGCGTATTCCAAGCATAGATGTCAGAGAAGCAAAAATGTGAGACTGGAATTGTTGACCTGATCAGTAGTCACAATGGATGGTACACCAAATCGTGCAATCCAACCGGAGATGAATTGTCGAGCCACAGAGTCAGCAGAGATGTCCTGAATGGGAAAAGCTTCAGGCCAACGAGTAAATCTGTCAACACAGGTGAGTAGATATCGATAACCGTCAGATGGTGGCAGAGGACCGACGATGTCTATATGAACATGGTCGAATCGTTCGGAGGGCATCACGATTTTTTTCCGAAAGGGCTATGTGTGTGCCGGGTAACTTTCGAACGTTGGCACATGATGCAGGAACGAGTCCAATTGGCAATGTCCTTTAGCATAAATGGCCAAACGAATCTTCCTTGTATGAGCTTCTTGGAAGCTTGAATACCTGGGTGCGATAGGTTGTGGAAACAGTCAAAAACTTTTTTCTGAAAAGTGGTACATAAGGTCGAAGTCTGTTGTTAGAGGTATCGCACAATACATGGAGATCCCGAGTAAGTTGTAATGACTAATGACTGGAATTTCAACAAGCAGTTTAAGTCTTCACTCAGACGTTTTAATCCTCTCATTGGTGGCTTGCGAGTGGGCTATAAGTGTGAAATCCAGCGGTGCATTGGCATCGATGCCTTGAATACGTGCGAGAGAGTATCTGCGACCACATTGCTGGAACCTGATATATGCTAAATATCTGTGCTGAACTGAGCTATGTAATTTAAATGCCGAATTTGTCTCGGGGAAGCAGAATTTGATTTTGATGTGAATACATTTGCATAAGTTAGAGGTCGGTGATTAGTAAATATAGTGAAGTGTTGACCTTCGAGATTATGCCTGAAATATTTTATAGCTGCACAAATAGCTAATAATTCGGCAAGAATTTTGTCAAATTTTGAGTTACCCATCAAAATATGAATGCTAGTACTGAGCGGGTTCACATTGGGAAGTCTACCACAAGAATATAGTTTTGTTTGTCCATCAATTAAACGGTTGTTTTTAACATCTATAAGTAAGTTGAACTTTGTGAGAAAGTCAACACCTATGATGGGTTAATTGACATCTGCCAGGACAAAAGGCCAAGTAAACGAGCGACGTAAGTTTAAATTGATGGTCAAAAGTTTGGTGCCATACGTTGCAATTTTAGTGCCGTTAGCAGGCAAAGAGTACTAAGTCAGCTGGGTTTTTGGCATGCTGACTGTAACTCTTGGGAATGACAGATAAATCGGCTCCGGTGTCAATTAAAAAGTCAGTTTTGAGATGGATCGGCCAAAAGAATTCGATTAATGTGGCGGTCGCAACGTTGGCCGGCAAGCGATCGCCGATCTAGTTTTCCGACTGCCGGAAATTGCATGGAGAAACACACTTTTCGTGCCTTGGAACCAAAATTAGTATGGTAGAAAACAGATGTTGTTGCACGGTTCTTTATACTGTCGATAGCGTCCACTAGATCTATTACGCCTACTGTTGCGTTGGGAATGATTGTCTCTTCGTTCACAGGAACGCTCACGGCTGTTTTTGAGGGCTAGCGAAAGTTCATTTACCTGCTTTGTCAGCTCTGCAACTTGCTGTTCAATGGGAGAAGGTAGATGCCGTAGCAGCTATTTATGTTAGGGAGAGTTGTGAGATCTGTAATTTTATCAGCTACAACTGTGAGTTTTGGGAGATCATCACTTAAGGCAGTAAAAATACTCTGTGTCTTTTGCGGGAGACGGGATATCCATAGAGATTTCAACAAGGGTTCTCCACCGGTCTCTCCAGCGAGGTTTTGCATACGGCAAAGTAATTGGGAAGGGCGTTGGTTGCCAAGTTCTAGCCCCTGAAGAAGTGTACGGATCTTCGTACACATATACTTAGTGGCCAAAATATTAGAGATATCTACTAAACACACATTGGTCTACATTTAGCTTTGATCACAACTGATAAGTCTTCTGCATATAGGCTCAAGATGCTGAAATCATTTCTGAGGAATGTAAGCTCATACTGATATAGTGGCAAGTCTAATTTTATTCACACTGGATTGTGGCATTTCCAAACTTTGAAATGATCTTTGAACTTCAACCCATAAATGCTAAACAGAATCAAGGTTAGAGCACTGAGTTCGCCATGGGAGAAATTTGAACCTCAAATCCTCCTTTTTAAATCAATTTGAGATCATGTATGCAGCCAAGTTGTACAGCCAAGCTGAAAAAGATCACTGTATTATTCTGTAATAACAGCCATAAATGAGTCTACATAATTGGCAGTGACACTGCAATAACCTATGATGCTAAGAGCTGTTTTCAGACATATCAAAGGAGTCATTGCACTACATAAAAATATTATTACTCAGGTCATAATTTTATGACCATCAGCTTAAAGAGTCATCATTAGGCAAAAGGACTCCATACTTTAGTTTTGTTTGCTCTATATTCTGTCATATGAATGATGGCTCAAAGCAGTCCTGTTTTCTCATTCATCAGTGAGAGCATAGCCATCCTTGACAGTTTTCTGCTTTATAATAAATCCTTGTGCTGCAAAGTTCATCATGCTTTGCTTTTGATGCACCTGAACTACTCCAAAATGCAAGTCATGTGTTGTTGCTTTTCTCTTGCTGTACACATTTGTGTCAGCCGCCTTTTATCTCTTTTGTTTATCAACATTTTTTGAATGGAATTGTTCTTACTACCTGAAGGTTTTTTTTTTTTTTTTTTTTTTTTTTTTTTTTTTTTTTTTTTTTTTTTGCTTCACTGCTATTTAAATACTCAAGATGTTGTTGCATGAGAAGAGCCTAGAACACAAGTCAGATCAGAGTCATCTTGGACCCACAATCATGCCTAATTAAAAGTTATTCAAATATTTCATTTTACTCATTTTCATATTAAACAAAGTGTTTAATATGTTTAAAGTTTCATATTAAACTATTTCTTCTCAAAATGAGAGTGCCTTGTATAAGCAATTCCTGGCTGGCCAGGTAGTTCTCAAAATGCATAAAGAAAACTACATGTATTTGTTCTTAAAAAATAAATAGAAATATTAAAACAAGTAAATAATAAAAACAAAATATCCTTCTTAAGCATCTTCCATACTACGGCAGCAATATAAGAAAAACTGAAATGTTTAAAACTAAATGAGATTTTTAAAATTACCATTATCACACAAATATCATCACAAAGAGATTTATAATTATAGTCTGGCTACATGGTGGTTTTATTAGTTTTCTCCATACATTATGTCAATATTAGCCAGTTTTTTTTCAAATAATTATCAATGAAGGCATCTTTCTCTTTTGGCAGATAGCCAAGTGCTTTGATAAAATATAAATAATCTTTTGATCCTTAGAACAAAATATTACTTTAGCTTTAGAAGTGATAAATTACTAGCAGAAATGAATTATACAGGGTACCCACAAAGTTCCCGGACAACTTTAAGGCCCCATTCAGACGAGGGCGTAAGGGTCATAAGTGGTTAAAGCTGAGCTCCGTTACCAAGGCAACCAGTCTCTGCTACGTCACAGAATCTGGTTTAGGGCTCGTGGCATAGGGTTCAAAGTTTTTAACTTTACGCCGAGTTTGGGATAAGCGTCGACCAATCAGAGCGAAGCTAAAACGAAGCGGCTTTCTTTAGACGATTTCGCTGTCACATCGAAGGAGACGTTTTTTTTAATATGGAACACATTGTATCCAAATGAGTAGTAATTATATCCGAACGAAATAATGAGTTGTAATCGTATCCGAATGAAATAAAGAGTTGATCTCGCAAGAAATCTACGATGATGACATGCAATTGTAATGAGTTTTTAATACATTTTTAATGAGTTTTTCAATTTATATTGAAAAATATGGATGAAACTCGTAAAGCGAAAGTTAAGTTCAGGATTATGCACACTGTGTATGATCCTGTAGATGATTGATCCCCTCCAATATTTTTCATTTTATTGTGAAAATTCTTTAAAAAATGCATGATTGCAAAAATTTTATTTTTTCTGTGTAAATTATTATTATTACTTTCTTTCTGTCTATAATTAAAAAAAAATATTACTATAATTTTTTCCTGTTTTATCATTTTTGTATTTAAGAATAAATTTATTCAAAAAGCTGAAAATATTGTATTGCTATTTGCTTCAAATGCTGATTTTCTTTCCAAACAAACTTCATGAATTAATTTTACTAAAACAACAAATCAATATCAAGAATCTGCTGGTCTTTTTTAACAGTAAAAATATTACTTTAAAGAAAAAAGAAAAAATTATTTTCACTTATTTAAGAATAGTCACAATAGTCAATTGAATGGTGTAAGCTTTGTATAAATAATAAAAAATAAAGTCTTTTGAGAAAATGCTCTTATGAAGTGTCCAAGAAGGAAAAAATGTAGTGAAATATCCTTTGAAACAACAATCAACAGTCTAGACAATTTTGTCTCCTGTTGAAGTTCTGTTCTGTTTTTTTAATTACGTTCTCCATGAAAGGAATTTACTTTTAATGAAACTGAATAGCATACACATAATTCGTAAAATGGATTATAATTTAATGAATAGTATTTGTTAGTTATTATCCACTCTTTATTAATATCATTTGAATGGAATTTTGATCATTAAATTCATGCTATTTCTCTGGTAGAAATTCCTGGATAAGGTATGAATGTTTATAATTTTGATGTATTTGAAGACTTGGGTACCTATAATTTGTCAATGTGAAATGACTTTTGAGATTTGGTCATGAATAGAAATGACAGCATATGTTGAAATTAAATTCAGGGGTGCAGCTTATACATGTAAATTATTACAAATAGGTGTATACAAACAGCTGGCAACACAGCAAAATGCATTTAATGCTTGAGCATAAAATAGATTGTTGGATGAACATTTCCTAGTATTGTACTAGTTCTGGTTGCTGGTGATTGTGACCAGATGTGGGATACTAGTACTAGTGATAATTGATACTGGTAGTGCAGCAAACTACTTTAGTGATCGACAGGGACAGTGAATAAGAAGTGCTAAGCACACATGTTTCACTGTCATAGAAACATGTTCCTTTTGATTGAAAATAATAATAATAATAATAATAATGTATGGTAAGTACTGTTTTAAGCTTAACTGCTTTCACACCTGCAAAATGGAAAAATATTATATACAGGCTCTCTGCTAGTTATCCTCAAGTTTTTTTTTTTAATTAGGCATATTCAGAATATCGTATTTCTCCTAAGAGAAATTATATATAAAAATTGAAAAAGGTTATATATATATAAATATGCATTTGCATGTTTATAGTATAGAGAGTACTACAGTACAATGCAGAAATATTCCATACTGCTTTGCACGAAATATTGTGCCAACCAAGTATTGGTCCTTTCCAAAAAAATATCTCTTGAACCATTTCGTTCTTTTTCGTTTTTTACCTTCTTCCGCTTGCCTCTTGGCTAATGAGAAGGGCAGATTAAAGATCATTCTGTTGAACCAGTAAAACTTTGTGGCGAGCTGAAAAAGCCATGACACAACGAAAAAAACAAGCAGAGCGAACTCGGGAAATCAATCAAGCGGGAGGACAGCATAGGAAAGTTGTATACATTCCACGCATGCACAAATTTAGCTTCTCTCATTGGCCACGGCTTACACCTCGTTCTCGCAGATGTGAACGGGTCTCCCGTATTTTATGCCCTTATGACTATGCCTCTATGCGCTTTACGCCCACGTCTGATTGCACCTTAACAGCCTGTTGTTTGCGAATAGAACAATTTATACCCTTGGTAATGGCCACACTTTCAATAGCAAGGTTCAAAACCTTTTGACAAGTGAGACAACCTGCATGTCACAAAATGACTTTTAATTGATGGTTTTCCAACTGTTGAAAAGTGTAATAAATCAATGTATCAAGATAAACTTTAACTGTTATTGTTGGCTCATTGAAAAACAAATTGTCCAAAAATCTTTTCATGCAGCATGTTGCTCCAAACATTCACTTTTGGGCTGTTCCTGCTTCAACTTCCTTGTGATACAAGAATTTTCAGATCCAAATCCTCACATCATGTGTATATTAAAACAAAACAAATCATTGGGAAAAAACTTTGATATACGTGTAATATACCACAAAAATTTACAGTGTGCTCACAATAACAGTGTAAATGTGTTCTGGGATGTTGTGGGCACCTTATGCTTCTCATCAAGATTTAAAGTCCAAATTGAACATCAAGATTTTTTAAATTTAACTAATTAAAATTCCTATACTCTGAATGTATATGAATCTAGAAAAAATTCTTAAACAAGAATCTTCTTAAATCTTAATAACATGAGAACTAAACTTCCAAAAATCTCAAATTTGAGCATTCAGTATACTATGACTAAGATCCTTAAATATATGTTATAAACGAAGAAAGTTTTTGTTAAAAATGTCACTTGTTTTACCACAGTAAAAATATTGCGTAAAAATATTGTTACGGATTTGGTATTTGAATAGCTAATGTTAGTTGAATTATAAATTAAATTGTTTTATTCCCCCTGCAGTGCAGCGCGTGATGAATATTAAAGGAAAACTAAGCCGGAAAAATTAAAAATACAAGAGCACGTGCATTTAACATTTAATAAATATCTCTTTTTGATTTCGAGAAAGTTCCAGAAAATTCTTGTGCGCAATTTAAAATCTTATAAAAGGAGGAAAATCTCTCAGTTTGTTGTGATTTTAGTTATTTAGTTGTTGTTTTAAGAGTTTCTTTAGAAAACTGCTCTTGTTGACTATAGCGAATTCGCAGATTAGCTTTCTTTAGCTGTTTTGAATTAAGTTCTCTTGAACGTTTGAGTAGTTAAAAGATAACTACTGTGAGATATTATAATACTGCATGAATATCTGAGAAGATTTAAGCATTTTTGTTGTGATAATATTAAATTTTGTTCATTTTTCATCAGACTTGTGCATTCATTTCATAATGAACAAGTACGCACATAACAATATGTATACAATAAAATGTTTAAAGTAATATAAGTATATACAATATTATAGTTAAATTAATAGTGGTAATTTTAAGTTATTTGTATCTTTTAAAAATTAAATTACACTCACTCTTCAGTGCATTTTATAAAACCACCTTGACTATCTGTTCCACAATTTCCATTCAAACTGCCTTGAGTATTGAACTGTTGAAAACATTCAAATTCTGACTGTACAGCTCCTAAAAGATAGGACAGAAAACAATAAAATATAAATACCAGATATTAAAAAAATCAGTTTCTTTAAATATTCTGTTCTCTATAAACACTAATGTGATAACTATTTGCACACCACATAACTTTTCAGAAGAAGATGTTGAAAAAAAGGCCCTGGCTTTTAGACATTAAATGATTCACGAATTTTAAATTTAGAAAAAGATATTCAAAAGTAAAAAAAGCACGTTGAAATCGAGTAAAATACGCTACTTTGAAGATTACTGAATACCAGCACAACTAAGATACTATAATACTTTTAAAATTAGATTTTTCAAAGGGGGGCCAAAAGAAAGGGAAAAAGACTTGTTAGATGTATTTAATGTCAAAAGTTCTAAATTTTTGCATCTCTCTCTTCCCCTCACAAAAGGAAAAGGTTAAAAATACTTGTCTGCCAGAAATGTTGAGGAGAAAACAATACAAAGAAAACAAACCAACAAGAGGAAAATAATACAGTTTTAAGACATTGTGGTATAAAACAAAGCAGCGGAAAAATAACAGTTTTAAAATATCATCATATAAAATATCATGGCAAAATATAAAGTACCTCTAAATTGTCACATAATGATAATATCACAGGCATGTGTTTCCCACAAAATATTTTAAGTTGCAAGAAGTAAGTAATAATTTTAACATTATATTTTATACTTTTGTAATAAATATAAATAACTGAAAAGCAAGAAGGAAATTTGACCATTTTAAATTAAATATTAGTAAATATTAGCTATTGAAAATGCTACACGTGGCATATAATAGAACTTTATACTGCTAACTATGAAAAGTTATTATTTAATTAATCTCTTTAATAAAGACATATTTGTAGATGTCCATGAAAAAATATAGCATAAAAGAGATTAGAAAGAAGATGATACACAATTTGAAATTCTATTAACTGTTACACAGAGAATTAATTTTTACTATTTTAAAGATTTTGGATGCTTAAGTTTAATTTCAGTTTTTCAATAAAAATTTATTACTTTAAACAAAAATATAAGATATAGAGGCAAAAATATTACTTATTTTTTCTTGCACTCACAAATGAATATGAGAAAATTCATTTAAATTTTTTTCAGTCTGGAAATATATGGCTGCAGTCTGTGATGTTATCATCATGTGATGATTCACAGGTGTTTAATTTTTGTCATGATATCATCTTGTATGACAATTTTTTGAAATTGCAACATTTTTGCCCCATTTTATTTTCTACTGCAATGTATTCTCCTTGAACATCATGAGTAAAATCATCCCCTTGTGTTGTTTTCTCCATGGCATTTTTTACCTGTAACCAAATACCTGACCCTTGTTCTGTCATAATATGATAAAAATGTATTAACAGAATTATTTTTTTAATTCATTAAGCATCATATAATAACCAAATAAAATGCATATGTACTAACTTTTATTAATTGTTCACAGTTTTTATGAAAATCAACATAGTTTTATGATTTTATGCCTGAAGATACCTTTTTTCACAAATTTTACATAATTTTTGTAGGATGCCAAAAATCGCTTCATCATAGCAATTTGTTGTCAAATCCATTTTTTACATACATTTTTATTAGACTATGGAATTCCATCAGATCACGTTGTGGAGAATGGTACCCCTTTGTCAATTTGAGATAAATCCATTTTCTAGGACTAGGGAAGCATGCACGTAATTATATCATTAGAAATTTCCCAGTGAAAAGCAAAATATTACTTCATATAGAAAATGTTAATTTAAAAGAAACTGAAATTCTTCTTCTAATAAAGCTTGATATTTTGGGGATAAACTTCTGCTCCCAGTAAGAGATGGAAAGAATAATGATACAGCATGAAATTAATTGCAAAAACAATTTACCGCAATAAAGTGCGAGGAATTTGAATTGCTACAGCCTGAAGACGTTGGTATGAAAATCAAAAAAGAATCATGTTTGAGGTTTTGCTCTTCAGTGATAACAGAGACTCTTGAAAATATCTTGATTATCAAATACAAGCATGAAAATAAACGTTATGAAGCTACTTTTTCTGATTTCTTTTTAACAGAAGCAAAAACAGCTACTATGTTAAAATAAGGATGTTTTACATCTTCTAATTATGTTTTAGATATATACGAATTGTTTTCTGCAAATCTTTTCTAGAAACCTTCTAATTTTTATTCTTACAAGGTTAACAGTTGGTTTGAACACCTAGTAAACACCAGACCATGCGAGGTTGATAGGTACACAGATGGCATACATGATGCCAATTACCACATGAGTCTTGATCATAAGTCCTAATAAAAACAACAATCAAAGTATTTCTTCTAACAGTGAACACAAACAGCAGCAGCAATAGTAGTATTATGGATAATGTATCTGGAAGTCTGTTTTTCAACAGAATAGTTAATTATAGCTATTTATTTCATTATTCATATTTTTTTTTCATATACTAATAGCAGGATTGTTTACCAAAAGGTTGCTGAAGGACAGGAGGAACCTTTCACTTTGCTGAAATGCTATCATGTAATAATTTGAATGCTAATAACAAATCAACTTCCAATCGATAACAGATTACATTTTTCATCTATTATAAGATAGTTTTACATGAAATAATACAATATTGGATAATATTAAAAATATTCCATCTAAAATTATTCAGTTGCTCTACACAATATTATGATTTTGTTTGTTTATTTATTTATACTTTTTGGCTTCTATTTAAAAGTTTATGATTTTTACATTTTGCAACAGAAATATAAAATACTTTATCATATCACAAAATAAAATTATTACATTCCTAAACTTTGAATCAAATAATTAAACCTTAAAAAACAACATTTGATTATAGAATTAGGTTCCACAATGTACAAATATCAACCATTAGAACAAATAACAAGTAAAGTATTCAAAATTTAGTACAATATTAGAACAGAGAGAATACTTTTCAATTACACTTTTGGAAATGCCAAATGCCACAATGCCAAATGTAATGAAGGAATTACTGATATTCCTGAAAACTGTCATATGAAAAATAAACAGTATCTTTTTGAACATCTTAAGAGTAGCTACAAGATACATTTTGTATGATATAAGAATTTATACTGTGTAGTAATTTAATGATTCCCCAAAATAAAAATTAAAGCAAAATATTTTTATCTTCTAATTTAACAGGCAACAAAAAGCAAAAGAAAAGAAAATTCTATTATTTACACCCTCCCTCCCCAAAAAAACTATTACTACATTTACTATTATAATTTTAGTAAAATGATACACTTTTTAAAATGCTTGAATTATTATTCTAATAAAAATGGATGAAAATTAACTTTTAATGAAATTACATGCATATGAATATAAATTTTTTAAAAAAGGATAAAAATTTGTTCTAATGATTTAGTTTATCAGAGGTTGCATATGTAACATTTTTACTACAATTACTAATTTAAGTATAATGACCATTTTTAAATGCATTAATTATTATAACAGTAATGAAAGTTCATGCAAACTAATTTTTAAGAAAATTAAACATATATAAACATAAAATAAAAAAGTGAAAATTTTTTTTAAATAATAATAATTTATCAGAGGATGAGGTAAAAGCACGTGTAACATTTTGACTAAAATTACCAAAATATTTTTCCAGAGCATGTTTAAAATTGTAGAAGATAGGTTTTATTACCATAACCCCACAGATATTCACACTGCTCATCAGGTGTTGGACAACGTCCATGGAAACAATAACCTTTACCATTTTTGCACGATGCTCCATTCTTTTTAAATAGATCGACAGGGCACTAGAAATTAAAATTATACACATACTAATTAACAAGGAAAGCACAAATGAATCAGTGGCTAATTTTATTTATACATATAGATATATATATACACATTACATAACTTATTTTTAATTGTTTCTTATTTTATCTGGCTAAAAAGAAAATATATATATATATTTCGACAAAATTCTTCTACAAGGGGTGTTTCCAATATTCTAGGAAATAAGATATAATTTCTCTTTTATTTCAATCTTTTTCATCAATATTACAATGCAGTTTTTCAATACAATCCCCATTTAATTGAATATACTTATAACAGTGTAAAACTCACTTTTTTGGTCATCATCAAAGATTTTTTTGGTGTCTCCTTAATTCAATTATTTATGGCATGGTTAAACTGAGAATTTATTTAAATTGAAAATCATGTAAAGGTTTTTTTCAAATGTGGGAATAAAATACACCTTACAAATGCTGAATAATTTCTGAAGTTTTCAGATGCTCTCTCCACAAAAATAAAATTATTCACTTCTTCCATAATTACAGAAACAGTGCTACAAAAATGCACCCAAATCAATCAAACAACTGACTGAGACTAAACAATACTGCACAAGATAGCTGCACAAGCATGTAAAAACTTGTTCCCAGTTGTATTGAACTACAGCTCAGTTACTACAATTTTGGGAACGCCCAATGCATAAGGAACTTTGGGAACTCCCTGTAAGGGACTTACTATACAAATTATTCTTTTCCCCGAACAGACTTTCAAAGCATAATTACAGTAATCTAAGGAGAGAGGGAAAAAGAAAATTCTGCAATAATATCTATTGATTTAGTAACTGTGGTTTCAGTTACGGTCTATTCACAGTGTCCTTTCAGTATCTCAAGACAGAATTCCTCTTCCCTATAAAATTAAAAATGAGAAGTTTATAAGGTAAAAATTCATACCAAACTGAGAATATGCTGTTACATGGTAAAATAAACAGCTCAAATGCAATCGGAAATTTCTACTCATATGTGTCCCTGATCATACGTATAACTAAATAGATGTCATTTAGACTGATGTTTTGCTGTTTATAAATGCTTCCACAAAAGAATTTTAATTGTTATTTCATTTTTTGAAACGGTACACGATATTCTACAGTACACATACAGCTGGCCACGCAGCTCAATTGCCCTTTTTAGTATTAGAACTAAAACATAAAAAATCCTTATTTTTATACATATGAGAAAAAGAAAGCACATCATATGTATAATGCAATACAAAGTACATAATACTTTAGAAAAGTGCATTGTTTGTTTTCTTAATTACAAACTACCATGTATTGTGCAAGGCAAGGCACAATACATAGTAGTTTGCATATACATGGCCTTGATAATTTGTGAATGCTTTCTCTACAGTTATGCACATTATACAAATATTGCATAATACACAGCTTTTAGAATCATCTAAAGTTTTACTAAGATGTAACAAACAGATCTTAAAACCATGAATGATAAGCTGCCAGAATTATATTTATTAGTAACCAAGATCTGATTACTAGTAAATCCCACCAGCCTGAGAATTTAAGATGCCTTCAAATCATACACAGCCTTCCTATAATACTACTTTCTTCATTTTTTTAAAATAAAAATGAGGAAAACAGAAGTAAAGGCCTTTAAAAGAGCACTGTATATAAGGCCATCAACTGTCTTAATGAGGCTTCTAGTAAATTCAATAAATTCTCCATTCTCATTTTTATAAGTTACTTATCACAATTCATATAAATAGCATGATTATTAAAAATTTACCTTGCAGTATAACCTGTTTCTAAATATACTACATTTAAACAGTCAGACAGGAATACATTTCACAATCTATGCTACTTAAATTCTTCATTTATGATAAATTATTTCAAGAAATAGTTTGTTTTTGAATGCACTTATTAAAATCCATAATTGAAAAGTTATTTTAACAAAGCAATTTTTCTTACTTGTCCATCTTTTCCATCACAGTATTCAGGTATATCACATTCTGTAGCAGCTGAACGGCACAAGGAACCAGCACTTCGAAGCTATATGCAAATATATTCATCATAAATCAAATTTAAACTTCATACTTAAATGATTGTTATGTTGTGAAAGTAACTTACTTTGCAATCAGCACAACACAGACCACTGGAACATTCTGCTTCAACTCTTAGTTTGCAAGTGATTGGATCACAACATGGATCGGATTTCATGCATTCCTATGTAAGATAGTTCAGTATATAATTTGGGAACAATGAATTGCTATATAAAAAGTATAAAATGCCAAACAAATCATTATATTACCTCAATGCTTCCACAATCGCATTCTTCACCTTTCTCAACAACATTATTACCACATGTGCGAAAATCTTCTAGCTATTTGAAGAAATTATACACTTTAATAAATTATTATCAACAACAGTAAATCATATGTAATGTCTTAAACAATGGAAATGAAATCAAACCCTGAAAATAATAAGAAGTTTTAATGACGTTAATTTAAGTTTAAACACAAATTTAGCAAATTTCAAAGCTAAATGGTTTTGAAACTAGCTATGGAACTTTTCTTCATCACTAACAAAGCAAGAAATAACCAAGCATGGAAAATGAAAGTTCTAAAACAGGGGTTCCCAATGGTGTCAATATTGACCCCCTTGGGGTTGTTGAAATTTTAAAACGTGTCAATAATAATCAAGGGGTAATTAGGGGTTAATAGGAAATATGCACTGGCAAACAATTGGCATGCATATTTCCTATTAACCCCATGCAAACTACCATGTATTGGTATTGCCATTATATGCAAACTACCATGTATTGGCATAATCAAGGTCCCACTGATTATAAAGAAAAATTATACTGCCACTGGCTTTCCAAAGGATTTTAAAGACCCAGTATAATGTTTGCAGAATGTCACATTTAGACACATTTAGTACTAAGATAGAATTTTTTCTTAAAGTCAACAACCCTATGGCAACACAATTAAAAAAATATATATTCTAATTGGTTAATTTACATTTTGTGCTCAATGTCTCAAACAAAATGCAAGAAAGAAAAATCAATCTCCTTGAAATCAGAGCAATTATCTTCAGTTTTCATTCTAAAATTGACTTCTATTATTTTGATAACTTAATGCAATTGTCAGTTACATAAAAAGATTGTATTTCTTCAGAATATAAATTGCTATAAGTAGGCCACTGGTAAAATTTGAAATATTTTAATATTTGCTTCCAAGACATTAAAAATTTGAAGGTACTGCTCAATTTCAGAATTTAATAGTCAATTAAAAGAAATACCTCTAAAGTTTTTACTGAATCAACATTAGTTACTTTACCCTCTTCTCATCTAATGCAAGCAAAACCAATAATTTACTATGGAAAACAAGAAAAGGTTGATAATTTTTGAATAAGGTGATTTAAGTCAAGTTAAGCAAATTTATGCAAATATTTTTAAAAAAAATCAGTGCATTAAGCACAGCCATCACATTCATGAAGATTGAACTTCTATGGATTGGATTGGATTATTTAATTATGGCAAAGCACAGAAGGGCTATCTGCCTAAAGGAAGGGATGCCTTCGTAGAGGACTTTCTAAGGGAAACTGGCTCGTATACACGTTACACATGGGGGAAAACCACGAAAACGCCCATGCAGCCAGCCTGTTTGCAGGATTCGAAACTCGGACCGAACTACCAGTGTTCAGCATCATTACCGCTCGGCCGCTGGTGGGGCCCAAACTTCCATGGAAGCAAAACCAATGATTTTGCTTCTAGTTTCCTATTTGTGAAAGTAAAAATAATAATAATAATAATAATAATAATAATAATAATAATAATAATAATAATGAAACATAAATATAATAAGCCAATTTTTCCAAACTTTTGTTCACATTCTTATTCTTTACTTATTTATGATATGTTGTATGCTGTATGTCACAAGCAGCTCTCGAAAAGGTTATTTTTCATGGTTTGGCAACACACATATTTCTTTACATTTAGAATATTAAAAATGAAAGACAAGAACGCACAGTGTTTTCATACTGAGGTGGATAGCCTGATTTATTTTAATTAAGTAGGTAGACTTCCTGCTTTATTTTGATTACTATATCTCTTTTTTTCTCTTTTGTTTATTTAATGGAGAACTGATTGAAATTCAGGTAGTCTCACAACATGCTGACACGGACGTGATTTTAAAGGTACATTTTTTTTTAAAATTATTATTATTCCAAAAGTGGAATTGCTTGTTAAAAAGCACTTACCTATAAGAGCTAATTTTATGAAAGGTTTTAATTGTTTGAATGACTTATTAAAAAGTGATAATGTGAAGGAAGAAAGCATTATATCTGATTTTGCTATTTTACATAGAATTTATTCTCAGCTAACTGAAAAAGATAAGGAAATGATGTCCTTATTATTAGAAAATGAACATGATAAAAAAATATCAAAATGAGCATGCCACAATAGAAAAATTTAACGAAAATTTTGCAAAAGCAGAAGTAAATGTAGAAATGTATCTAAACAGAATTTTTAAAGCACAAAGTACCATTGATTCTTTACCAGTTCAAAAATGAAAGTTAAAATTATCGAAGATCGAACTTTTGAAATTTGGTGGGGAAATAAAAGATTGACTTGCTTTTAGGAGCCAATACAAGCGAATACATTACAACGAAAATATTGAGAAAGAAAATAAGTTTTAATACTTAATTCAGCGTATGTCTGAAGGCTCTAGAGTTCACGACATTATCGATAGTTATCCATCAAGACGTGAAAATATAATAAAGCTATTGCATGTTTAAAAATCAAGATTCAGCAGGGATTAATTGCTAATTGAATTCTATATATGCAGACTTTTAAACCTTGTTGTAAAAAATCCCAATAAATACAGAAGAAAAACACAAGTTAGACATGTTAAAGTTATATGACAAATTACAATCATATTTAAGAGTGTTTGAGTCCATTGGTTTAACATCTGATAACAGCTATACTTTTCCCTCTCGTAGAATCTTGTATTCCAGAGGTTGTATTAGAATTTGGTTAAGAGTGGTTAATACCAAATCGGATTCTTCTGAAGAAAATGCTTATGGAGAGAAGTTAAAAAATTTATTATTTTTCCTGAAAGCTGAAGTTAAAGGGAAAGAATGTATTCCTTTAGCAAAATTGGGATTTATCAATAAAGAACACAAATTTCAGAAGGAAAAAGTACAACGTTCTGCTCCTGTTACTTCACTGTCAGCAGCAGATATGTTTGTGGGAGCAACAGAGAATAAAAGAAAAAATGTTTTTATATTTTGTGAAATAATGCATGAAAGTAAAGATTGCTTTTCTGCACAAAAACTCAGCTTTTAAGAAAAACAAGAAATTTTAAAAAACAAAAAGGCCTGTTTTGACTGTCTGAAAATTGGATATCACTCTAAAATTTGCAAGTCCAATATCAAATGTCTTCTTTGCAGCAAAAAACATTTGATTTTGATGTGTCCAAAACTTTCTGGGAATAAGATGAAAGGTGGCATACATGAGCCTGAGAAGACGTCATCATATGATGTTAGTTCATCTAATTTATGTTCATCAGATGAAATACTGCTTCAAACATTACAAGTCAAACTGAACACTAAAGGGAAGGCGCTATAAGTATGTATACTCAGTGACACTGGTTCACAACATTCTTAGATACTTAAGGAAACAGCTAAGAAACTACATTTGAAGCCTACTGAAGAGAAAATTCATTTTCTGTTTGAGGGATTTACAATTGAGAAAAAAGAGCATTATGTTTACGACGTTAACCTGATATATTTTAAAGGTGACTTTTTCTGTAACATAAAGGTTTTGAATCAACAGGTCATTTGCGGCAACAGTGCTCAGTTGAAAGGAAACCTTTGGAGTTAAGGGAAAATAAAATTTGGCTCACTGACTATAGAGAAGGTTATATAGACTATAGAGAAGGCTCACTGACCATAGACATTCATCTCTTGAAGAAGGGAAATATGATGCTGTAGTTAAAGAATAGTTGCAGGAAAATATCATTGAAGAGATACCAGATAGTGAATTGAGAAACCCTTGTCACCATTTGCCTCATAGAAGTATTTTTAAAGAGAATTCTACTATGAAAATACGTCCAGTACTTGATGCTTCATGTAAAAGTAAGAACTCATCTTTGCTCAATGACTGTCTAGAAACAGGACCAAATCTTATCAAGAAAATTCCTCCATTACTTACGAAATTTTGTCAGAAAAAAATTGGCGTAGTTTTAGATATAAAAATGGCCTTTTTACAGATATCTGTGGCAAAAGAAAAAACAGGATTTTCTTAGACTCCTTATGGAAAGATTATAAGGAAGGAAAACAAAACATTTATCATCACCGACAAGTAGTATTTGGACTTATGAGCAGCCCTTTCCTACTTTTCCATTTGAGACAAAATGAAAGAAGTTTTCCTGAAACCATAAAAATTCTGAGGAATGCATTGTATATAGATAATTGCATAACTTCAGTATCTAATCAAGAGAAATTTTGGAAATTGATTTATGAAGCAAAACAGATTCTGGCTGCAGGTTGCTTCAATCTGCAAGGCTGGGAGCATTCCAATCTAACAGGAGAAGAATACCAAGAAAAACCTACACCTGTTCTTGGATTATTATGGGACAACATAAAGATGTTCTGTTTTGTGATCTTGAAAATGTTGATTTCGAGCAAAAACCCATTACCAGAAGACACATTCTTTCAACAGTTCACAGCATCTTTGACCCCCAACTGGAATTCTTTGCACAGTGATGATTGGTTTGAAACTGCTAATACAGAATAGCTGGAACCTGAAGAACCTGAAATCTGTCCAGAAGATATTTGCCTAGAGTTCAGTATGTGGCTTGAAGATTTGCATTTGTTGACAGAGATCAAAATTCCTAGATATGTTCAAAGCATCAGAAAGAAAAATTGAATTTTCATACTTTTTGTGATACAAGCAAGTCCGCCTATAGTGTAGTCGTATTTCTGCAAAGCAAACGTGAGAAAGAGGTAAAGGTTCATTTTATTGAAGCTAAAAGTGGAATAGCTTCTGTAACAAAGCTCACCAGAAGTAAAACTACTCAATTTTCTAGGAAAGCACGTCCAATCCTAAATAGATTATTAATAGAGCTGCCAGTGACCTCCAAATTATTTGTGACAGCACCTTTGCGCTGAAAACCCCCAAAATGCTACATGCTGCAAACTGGTGGACCAGGGACCTCAGAATACAGCATAGCTGTACCAGAGCTATGCACAGGCGCATGAAAGCAGAAAGAGATCAGGAAGCTAGACAATTACTATCCATAGAATATAATAAAGCATAGGCCAAGTATAAAAAGGCCATATTACGGGCCAAACTTGAAAGCTAGAAAAACTTCTGCACTG